CACACAGTACTGTTTACCTAACCCAGGGGTCGGCAACCTTCAACATCAAAAGAGCCACTTTAGATCATCCTATGAAACTACATTTAAAAAGAGCAGCATGTGATGGAGACATGGAGGCAGAAGATACCAATGTCATTAGCCGATAGAGTCCCATGTGGCTCACAGTCTGCCTAAGCTAACCTAAACAAATTGCATCTGTTTCAGCAAAACCTTGTAAAAAATACTGAAGGCGAGGATGAAAACACAATATAATTTAAGCGCCGGTGAGCAAAAACCTTTTATTTTTGCAGAGACACACACTCTGCACATAAAGTCGAGTAAGCAGTTTTTGTTTTTTAAAGTGAAAGTACACCCATGCACCCTGACATAAGCGTGTTCTGTGCATCTGCTGTGTTGTGCATGCACTTTTGCAAAACTCACACTCTTCGTGCTCCAGGTCGCTGTCGCTATCGGCGTGGGCCAGCCCGTGTTTCTGCAGGTGTCTTCTGATGCTCATCCTGGTCCTCCTCAACCTCCCGTGACTCTTTAGCCTTGGCTGGTCCATCGAGTCTGCCACAGTGAATACGCCTTTTCCGTTGCTCTGGGAAAACGTACCACTGCCGTTGGCTTGGGCAGCCACGCCGGGAGAGGCAGCTGCAGCCTAATAAACAGCAATAAAACAGATGTATTACCACTCTTGTACTGCTTTCTTTAATGTAAGTCTGATCGAGTTAATTCAGTTAATTTATATTAATTATGACTATTGGGTTCAGTTTTAGATCATTTTCTTTCTGTTATTTTGGGGATTTTAATATTTTTTATTAAGAAAAGTTTTTAAAAAGTTATCCAGTTGATAGAAAGCTTGGTTAGAAGAAGACTTTGAGCAGCAGATCATTCTATCAGAAACATAAAAGTTGGAGTAGGCATTTGTGATATTGTGGCTAAGACTGTTATTAATTTGAGAGGCCCTAGAATGGATCCCTGGGGAACACCATTGGTTATAAGGAGGTTAATTAGCACCTAATATCAGAACATGGGATGAGGGTTCTAAACACCTGTCTGGGTATGTTTCTGTGCAGGGTTTTCTCGTTGTGAGCAGAGCATTAAATTCTTTAGTCTTTTTGAAAGAAACGAGATAAGTATCTGTGGAGAGTGATGATGGGAATTTAGGAGGTCTATGAAATGTTTTGATTCTTGCACAAAGTGACACTAAACTGAAGAAGTGACCTGCTCCAAGTGAGAGAGCGTCACACTCCCAACATCGGTGAGCCGGTGTTCCCTGTCATCCCAACGTCCATAAGCAAGGTCAATCCCACCCACAAAGGCCACCGACTGATCAATGACGATGATCTTCTCATGATGCGCCCACAGGTACACAGCGGAGGAGACGTGGTCTGGGTGGCGCATCACCTGGTGAACAAAATATCCCAAAATTTAGAGAAGAAATGCAACGTGTCAGCCA